ACTCTTTCCACGGGATTGGCTTGTGGATGGTATGGTGGGGTAGTCGATTGGAGGATGCCAAATTGCTCCGCGAGATCGGAAATTTCCCGATTTTTAAATTCGGTTCCGTTGTCGGTAATTAATACGCGCGGTGCGCCCCATCGGCACAATATCAGGTCTTTTAACGCCTCTTTTACTTTTTTCCCGGTTGCGTTCCGTAAGGGGCAGCATTCAACCCATTTCGTGAACAAGTCCTGGACTACCAGTACATACATGAAGCCGGAAAGACTTCGCGGAAACGGACCCATAATATCCGCGGCGATAATGTCCCACGGTTTTTCCGCGACTCGATATCCCATCAACCCTGCCGGAGCCAGCTGTTCGACCTTGGCACGTTGGCAAACGGTACAGCGTCGTACATACTCCGCGATATCCTTGTACATTCCTGGCTAATAATATCGTATGGCTACGCGATACGCGGTCATAGGTTTTATCCACCCCTAAATGTCCGGCCTGAGGCTGATCATGTGCCTCGCGATAAATTTCGGGTCTTTGATCTTGCGGTATTACTAGTTTCCACTCGTCAAGATCTACGGTAACATCGGAAATATCGGTATTGGGTCTCTTCACGTATAACTGGTTGTCCAGAATTTTCCACTCCGGAAAGCGGGACGGGAAGTTCTTTAGGTCGGCAAATCTTCTTGAATACCAATCCGGGATATCGATAATTGCGGTAAGGGTTTCGGCTTCTCCAACCGACTCCTCATACATTCGAGATAAAGCGTCGGGGACGCGATGCAACGCGCCTTGCCGGTAAATCACTTGAAAATCATATTCGAGAAGAGACAAGGCCCAGCGAGCTAGTCGACCGTTGGGATTTTTCATTGACCTTAGCCACCGGAGGCTATTATGGTCAGTAATGACCGTGAAACGATAACCTTCTAGGTAATGGCAGAATTTTTCTATTGACCAGACTATGGCTAAACACTCCAGTTCGGTAGTGGAATATTTTCTTTCGGTAAGCGATAATGAGCGGCTCGCATATGCTATTACGCGTTCTTCCTCGTCTATTTGTTGAGTAAGAACAGCGCTGACCCCTACAGTGCTTGCATCCGTTGCTAGCACGAATGGTTTTGTGAAATCGGGACAAGACAGTACCGGAGCGGTAATTAAATACGTACGGACGGAATCAAACGCTTTCTGCTGTGGCTCCCCCCACTTCCATGTCACCTCTTTACGTAATAGTCGCGTTAAGGGCTCCGTTATTGTTGCGAAATGCGGAATAAATCTACGATACCATGAGCCCATTCCCAGAAATCTTCTTAATTGTTTAATGTTTTTCGGAACGGGATAATCTAACACCGGCGCTACTTTTTAGGGATCTATTCGGAGGCCTTCTTTACCGACAATAAAACCCACGTAACGGACTTCGGAACGGCAAAATTTGCATTTTTCGGGATTAATTGTCAAGCCCGCGGTAGTAATTTTTCTGAGCACTATTCTTAACCAATGCAAATGTTCTTCAAAGGTTTCTGTTACGATAATAATGTCGTCTAAATACACGAACGCGTGGGGTTCCATTTCCGGACCGATCAATTTGTCTAATAAGCGTTGGAAGGTGGCGGAGGCTCCCGTTAAACCATACGGCATACGAACGAAATGGAAAAGCCCCTTTCCCGGTACGGTAAAAGCAGTGATTTCCCTACTGCCCTTTTCTAACGGAATCTGAAAATATGCCTGACTCAAATCTAGAGTAGAGATATAATGCGCGACACGTAATTTATCTAATATTCCCGTCATATTCGGTAATGGATACGCATCTTTCTTTGAAACTTCATTCACTTTCCGAAAATCTAAGCAAAACCGATATTTACCCGTCGATTTCTTAACCATCACAATGGGGCTAGACCATTCGCTATGCGATGGTTCGATAATTCCGTCTTCTAACATTTTATCCACTTCGGTATAAATGGCTTGTTGTACAACCGACGAAACTAGATAATTCCGTTGTTTAATCGGTCTACTATTTCCTACGTCAATCCGATGTTCCGTTAGTGTGGTGCACGAAGGTCGAAAAGGGGGTGGCGGCAATTCGGTATTTAGAAATCGATCGAGTTCTTCTCGTTGTGCGGGAGTAATTTCGAAAATTCCTAAACACGACGGATCGGGATCGGAATATTGCGCGTTGTTTTGTACATCAAACGAGAATTCGATTTCGGAATCGGAAGAAAAGTACCACGCAGCGCGAGAAAAATTCACTACGATACCAAATAAATTTAGGAAATCCATTCCTACGATACACGGGACGGCAAGATCGTTTAAAAGGTATACTTCGAGAGTGCGAGTTTGATCTTTAAGCGTGATCAAACTGGTATTCCTGGTTGCGGTAATACTGGTATTCCTTGTGATGTGCGGTACTGTACGCGAACCGGAAATCGGATAAGTGAAGATCCTAATCACGATGATCTTTTTCTATATACGAGACTACCATGGTTTTTAATACTTTATTTACTCTTTCGACCGGGTTCGATTGTGGGTGGTACGGTGGAGTGGTCGAGTGGAGAATACCGAAATGTCACGCGAGGGCGGTGATTTCCCGGTTTTTAAATTCCGTCCCGTTATCCGTGACTAATGCGCGCGGCGTTCCCCATCGACGCAAATCAGATTTTTTATTGCTTCTTTCACTTTTTTCCCCGTTGCTTTCCGCAACGGGCAGCATTCCACCCATTTTGTGAACAAATCTTGGACTACCAGTAAGTACGTAAAACCTGATCGACTTCGCGGGAGCGGTCCCATAATATTCGCGGCGACAATATCCCACGGCTCTTCCGCGTCACGGTATCTCATTAACCCTGCAGGCGCCAGCTGTTCTACTTTCGCGCGCTGACAAACGGCACAGCGTCGTACATATTCCGCGATATCTTTATACATGCTGGGCCAATAATACCGTGTGGCTACGCGATCGTAAGTTTTTTCGATCCCTAAATGTCCCGCTTGAGGTTGGTCGTGTGCCTCTTGATAAATCGTGGCTCGTTGTTCTTTCGGCACGACTAATTTCCATTCGTTAAGGTCTTCCGTTATATCCGAAATATTGGTATTAGGTTTCTTTACGTACAATTGATTGTCCAAAATTTTCCAATTCGGGAAGCGGGATGGATATTTTTCGACATCTGTATATTTCCGCGAATACCATTCTGGGATTTCGATAACGGTGTTAAGAGTCTCGGTTTCCTCCCCCGAGTCCTCATACAGTCTAGACAGGGCATCGGGTACGCGATGCAATGCGCCCTGGCGATATATTATCTGAAAGTCATATTCTAGGAGTGACAAGGCCCAGCGAGTTAATCAACCATTCGGATTTTTTAACGACCTTAGCCACCGAAGGCTACTATGGTCAGTGATGACCGTGAAACGATAACCTTCTAGATAATGACGGAATTTCTCGATCGACCATACTATGGCGAGGCACTCTAATTCGGTGGTACTGTATTTCTTTTCGGCATTCGAAAGTGAACGGCTCGCGTATGCTATAACATGTTTTTTTTCTTCTATTTCTTGTGTTAGTACCGCGCCAATCCCCACGGTACTCGCGTCGGTGGCTAACGAGAACGGTTTTGAAAAATTCGGACAAGACAGTATGGGCGCGGTGGTTAAATACGAACGAACGGAATCGAATGTTTTTTGTTGTGCCTCTCCCCATTTCCAGGGCACGTCTTTACGTAATAGCTGCGTTAGGGGTTCCGTTATGGTGGCGAAGTGCGGATTAAAACGACGATACCACGAACCCATTCCTAGGAATCTCCGTAATTGTTTAAGATTTTTCGGGACGGGGTATTCCAATACCGGCGCTACCTTTTCGGGATCTATTCGGAGACCCTCTTTACCGACGATAAAACCTAGATAATGCACTTCGGCATGGCAAAATTCGCATTTGTCCGGATTAATTGTTAAACCAGCGGTCGTAATTTTCCGAAGTACTATTCTTAGCCAAGACAGGTGTTCCTCAAACGTTTCTGTAACTATAATAATATCGTCTAAATAAGCAAACGCGTAGGGTTCCATCTCCGGACCGATCAATTTATCTAATAAGCGCTGAAAGGTGGCAGGGGCTCCCGTTAAACCGTATGGCATACGAACGAAATGAAAAAGTCCCTTGCCCGGTACTGTGAAAGCGGTGATTTCTCTACTTTCTTTTTCTAATGGAATCTGAAAATATGCTTGACTCAAATCTAAGGTGGACAAATAGTGCACGGCTCGTAATTTATCTAATATTCCAGTCATATTCGGCAGGGGATACACGTCTTTTTTCGAAACTTCATTTACTTTCCGGAAATCTAAACAACCGATATTTCCCCGTCGATTTCTTGACCATTACGATAGGACTGGATCATTCGCTATGTGACGGTTCGATAATTCCATCTTCTAACATTTTATCTACTTCCGCATAAATAGCTTGCTGTACTACTGGTGAAATGAGATAATTACGTTGTTTAATTGGCCTGCTGTTTCCTACATCGATTCTATGCTCCGTTAAGGTGGTACACGAAGGTCGGAGCGGTGGTGGAGGCAATTCGGTCTTTCAAAATCGGTCTAATTCCTTTCGTTGTTCTGTAGTAATTTCGAAAATTCCTAAACATGATGAATCTGCCACGGCACGTTGCACGTTAGTTTCTATATCGAATGAAAATTCAGTCGCAGGCTTGGAGGAAAAATACCACGCGGCGCGGGAAAAATCAACTACAATTGCGAATGAGTGTAAGAAATCCATTCCAACGATACATGGAACGGCAAGACCGTCCAAAAGATATATTTCGAGAGTGCGAACTTGGTCTTTTAGCGTAATTGACGCGATAATACTCGTGTTCGTCTCCTCCACCTGACCCGTAGCGGTCATTATCCTATATGTTCAAGATGTTCGACTTGGGAGATTGACCCGTGATATCGCGGTATTTCTACGAAAAGTTCGACTCGAGCCTGAATCCACTAACGCCCGGAGGGTATTTCGACGGATTTGCAGTTCGATAAAATATAGAGAATTCGCATTGGTATGCGTAAAAGCATTATAAAAATACTCTGAGGGTTCAAACACGGGAGCCGGGGCTCGTTGGACGTTCTCAGGAAACTGGGGCTTGTTGAATGTTCTCGGGTGGAGTCGCGTGGGCCCCTAACGGCGACTCCGTCTCGGGTTTCCCGCGCACCTATCACACGTCTCTACCGTTTCATTTCTTTTCCCGGCATCGATAACAATAGCGCCGTTGCGGATAAGGGCAGTTGGCTGCGCGATGTCCCGTCTTATCGCAATTCCAACATTTTCCGATTTCTCCCTTCGCGATATTATTGGGTGCAACGTTCGCGTTATTATATCCGGTATACAGGGTGTTCGGCTACTGGTGGGCATAATTTTAGGGGGTCGTAGCTGGGGTGATTCCGAACAACTTTTTCCTTTACCAAAATGCTGGTTAAAGCTTAGTTTTTGAATTATTAATGAAAAACACTGACCAATCAGAGCGCGAGAATAGCGCGCGCTCAGATGCGAGAGCGACGGGTGCAAGCGTGACGGTTGACCCTGGTCGTGAACAAACAAATCGCGCGATATCGGTAACATAGTTACCATCATCGGTAATACGTCAGTCGGTAAGTAGTTATAAAATTCACAACTATTAATAAGTATAAATTTATTAACGAAACTAATTATATGGATTAAGCGAAAATAAAAGTAAAGATCAAGCGCAGTTTTTTTAGATAAAAAAATTGATTATTTGTTTAACGACATAAAATTAAAGAATACTCGGACGCTTACCTCATGAGTGAATTTACGATGCGAGAATTCTTCATTAATTTTGAAGTATATCGTCGTATGACAAGATACCTATTTACTCGCTAAAATCCACAAAGCATATCAATACCCGCTCTATGGGATTGTCAAGTAAAAATGGTGACTGTCATATTTGATGTTTTCCGTATAATAATAGTACAATTTTCGGAACCCACACTAAACAAACACACAATCACACAAGCACCACGATTGTCCAGTCCTTAGTATCGAAACGTTAAAAATATCCACCTTTTTTACACATCAATTCGTTTACAAAAGTTCCTCGGCATGTACACATTACACATTATGCGCGATGAGTGATTCAAAGAAAAGAATCAGTTATTGCAAGATGTATTATTGCGATCGCACAACACGTATTACCGACAATATTAAATTTACTATAATGTTTGAAATGTGCACCATTCTCTTCTAAGCACACCCGTTCGAATATCGACAACCAACTGACGTTTTGTACAGAATTTTAGAAACAAAGAACTTACATTGGTATTGTCTTCCCACTAGTTTTTGCCCCTAATGCAATGACTGTCCGGTCCCCCGAGGAGGTTTCTTGTGACGGGTATAAAATACCACGTCACACAATATCTGGGAAAGGAAGGACGAGGATTCTGCCACACTATAATTTTTTCGTTCGAAATTGGATCTCTGGATACTAATTGCACGGGAACAAAAGAGTTAACAAATATACTAGCATCGGAAATATTAGGATCTATAAATTTTTGCTTGTATTTCATATTCCATTGCGCTCTTAGCGTGGTACTTTCCTGGAAGGGGAACAGAAGTTCCTACGGAAGAGGACGGCGTTCCGGGGAGAGTTTGGGTTTTTCCCAAAACTCGTGACGTCCTTCCCGGTCTGCGGGAACCGTTACCTGTAAGGGCCAGGTCGCTCTCTGACCTTCTAAGCTGCGAGGTTTATGACATGGCCTGTGTCACTCAAGCCAAAATCTGTAAAGACTAGTGCAGCAATAAATAAATCTGTTGAAAACTATAAATTGTCACGTACCATCGTAGTGCTAGCACGCAGATGGCACGGATACTAAAATATAGGGTTCAAAAGTGACCATTCTCTCGTCATGTCGTAAACCTTATCTGTATGAAACTCTAACACAAAGATTATTTGTTTTATTGGAAATTATAATATCTGACACTTCTTCGATTTGAATTGACCTTGTAGTTGTATGATCTAATAAGGTTTGCAAAGGTACATTAGCGATGGATTCAGTAACAAGTATATTTATGTGGTAACACTTTTTCCTAGCAGCAGTATTAGAACAACGTTATATTGAAATTTCGTTAATTTCGCTTTGACTACTATTGACAATGCCTCATCATGCGAGTATAGTATTACAGCATCAGTCATTTTGCTATTTGTATCATATGTATTCTCTATATGTATTCCGTGGCACGATCAGGCGAAGTAAATACGTCCTTTATAATCGTAACTGTATCTGTCATGTGATCTTTTCAAAATTGCATTTGTGCGGCATAGGCTAATTCTTGTGGACTGAAACTAGATCGAAGACTTTCCGTTTTTCGTCTTTTCCATTTTTCACTTACCTCAGAGAATTCAGCGAGCGGTCTTCCAGTTTAAGTATGAACGGTGCCAATCGGAAATGTTATGGTCTGTCCTAACCAAGTGTGATATTTATTTTTAAAAGTTGAATAATTTCTGACACAAGCATCCCACCTTGCCTTGAAGCGTACTATGGAATTTTTTAAACATTGTTTAGTCTCTACTGAAAATTCACTAGTACTAGTTAATTTGTTTACTTCATAATAAAATAATTTTAAGAAAAAAAAAACGCCGACTTCGAAATGCACTAAAAATAAAATAAAATAATTTTAAGAAAAAAAATACGCCGACTTCGAAATGCACTAAAAAGTATAAAATAATTTCTATTTCCTAATGAAGTAATTTCTATTTCATTCAATCATACAATTACGTAACAGATATGAATGAAACCTATTTACTCATTAGGCAGTATATTAAATACATTTCAACTTTTTCGGAGGCGGTACTTTTCGCTGTCAGTGGTACTCAATGTTGGCGCGGCGCGGGAGTCGCAAAATAATTATTTCGTTACTCCAAGACAATCGGCAGGGCGACTGCCGCGCCGCGCCAACATTGAGTATCACTGACAGCGGCGCGTGTTTTGCTAAACTATTTTTTTTATAAAAGGAAAGCAAAAGTGATTTTGTAACTTCGCTTGATGCTTTCTTCTGCAGAAATGTCTACTCTATCATGTGGGATGCTTAGATTTTCGCCTAGACCCATAGTTTTTTAAATAAATTGAAAAATATCAGAAAAAATTGGTGCGTTTTTGGTGTCTTTCTTACTTTAATTATCATTCAAACGTATTTAAATATTTACAATGTAATAACAATTTATATAGTTTTATTCAGGATAATTCACAGATTCTTCTCGTGTAAAAAGCCACTGAATAGCTGCTACGGTAAAAGCACAAAAAATTTCCAGTTGAAAATTTGCAATTTTTTTTAAAATTAATTTTCTCCAAAACTGTACGTCCTAGAGAAAAACGGATTTCAGATTCGTATTCAGCTCGCAAAAATCTATAAGAATTTCATAGTAGCCGTTACGAAATCAGTTGGCTGTTGTACAGTGTAATAAGCTATATTCGCAGTATAAACGTGACTTTGTCTCTTAGCACAGAATATTGGGTCATTCCACGCCGAATCGATCACTTTTGGAAGTCACCATCTCCGATTTTGTTCTACTAATCCAAATATGTAGTCCATGTGGAATTAGGTGGGGTTTAAGTCATCATTTTGTCGGTTTCGAGTTTGTTAATAAATGACAAACCTTCAAGGTTTGTAATTTTTGGCATTTTGGCGAAAATAGGGTTCACTTAAAAATTTTTTTCTCAGAAACTACTCAGCCGATTTAGCTCAATGTTTTTTTGTTTTATTTATGAAGGATTGGGGTATTTTAAAATATTTTTTTACTTTGTCAGTTTGTTACGAAGTGTCGGAAAATTTAAACAAATTCTTTTTTTGCGTTTTTCTAAATGAGGGGCGTAAAGAGTTAAAATTTAAAAAAAATATAGCCCTATTCTGTTGAGCAGACGCGTGGAAGAAAATACGCTATTCATGAATACGTAATGCGTGGCGAATGTTGTGCGGGCACACTGAAGAGAGACCCGTCGCAATATGGCGTAAGAACAAAAAACGCGGGGGGCACGTTCGGAAAAACGTCCGACACCAAATGGGGCATCGGTGTAGCCTAAAGGCGCTATCGACGCATGCCAACCACGTGGCGCATAGGGGAAAACGGAAATTCTCCAACATATTCTTTGAAGCTTCCCCCTTGGAATATTCTAGAATATTCCATTGACAGTTAAGCGTCTAGAAATTCACTAGATTGAATGGTGTGAAGTTCGTCGAATGTTCTTTGTCTATTTACTGTGTTTTTGGTTAGGAGAGACAAGGACGGTAAATATGATGTTACGAAAAAACACGCATTACGCTTGCCAAAACGCCTTTGCGAAGAAGTAATATTTCGACATAATTTCTTTTGCATACTACTCTCAGAAGTTTAATCTAGGTCGGTCCGCGGGCCGATTTTGGAAAAAAGGGACGTGAAAAATTTTCTTTTATAAGAAATGTTAGTTTTCAGTGCATAAAATTGTTTTGGACAAAATTGCAAAATCGGCCCGCGGACCGACCTAGATTAAACTTCTGACAATAGTATGCAAAAGAAATCATGTCGAAATATTACTTCTTCGCAGAGGCGTTTTGGCAAGCGTAATTCAATACATCCAAACCGTTTGAATAACAACATGGCCGCTGGGATATCGCGCTGCTTGATGCTGACTGGGTTCAGGCCTGGCTATACGTACATACATATGGCACCCCACAGGGTATCGCTAAAAGGGCCCAGCATTAAAAAACAGTTTGCATCAAAACTAATAGATGACAACAATCGTATCATGATATTTTCTTTTCAAATGTATCATGTGCAAACACAAAATATTAATTCCAGAAATAATATCTAATAAATTAGTTATGTTTTATGTTTTTTTAACAATTTGCCCGATCTATTCTATGATATATAATTATTTCTTTTTAAACGGATAGGAAATTATAACGAACAATCAATGAAATTAACATACTAATAAGTTAACGAAGTGACACCGTAAAAATAGTAATAAAAAATGAAAAACGTAACATGTAAAAAACCAAGTCCAGCGGACTCGAACCTGCGACAAAGAAGTTGCAGAGATTACGAGGCAGGACTGCTAACCTACTGCCTAATTAGTTACTTAGAAAAGTGTCTTACGTTCCGACACATAACCGACGACGATGTAAAATTAATTAAATGAATTTTATTACTTTACCTAATATATCATTTTTATTAATTATTAATGCGAATCTATTTAAAATTATGTTAGAAAATAGAAATTAACGAACAGTCGACACAGGCCATCCGCTCTTTGTCATTGCACTTCCCCTCCCTCAGGGAACTTCGCTGGGCCCAAGTGCCCTAAACAGTCACGCTGACGGGGGTGTCCTCCAGACAGGATCGTGTCAATGAAGGCCTCAAGACAGGATCGTGTCAATGAAGACACTCTTGTATTGACTTTCGTCGTGAAAACGTCAGTAAAAGAATCGCAGTCATTTACTTTAAAATCGCCCACGAATTATTGATACCCTATCAATAACCTTTCCTGATATATATATCCTACAATTACTTCAATTCCGGTTAAGTTAGCCTGTATTTTTATATTTATTTTATACTTATTTCTAACGACTTAATTATAAGGGAAGGTATACGCGCAAATAATATAGTCATAATTAGTTATAATTGTTTATTGAGAAATATTTGCTACTGATATTGGGGAAACCAGGGATTCCCCGACCGCGTCCCCGTCCACCGCCGCGTTGTGGGTGCCGCCGATCAGCTGGCGGCGGCGGCAGAAGTTTTGCTGCCCGTCGCAAGGCGGACGCCATCTTTCGTCTTTGGCGCCTATTCTTCTGCAACAAGATAAAAATAATGAGGTGTAAACATATTTTTGGGTCTGGAGTTTCACATTTATACAATAGGTACTACAGTATTCTCGCCGTAAATGTTAAAAAGTACAACAGGTACTACAGTATTCTCTCCGTAAATGTTACAAAGATCTCTACCGTTAATGTTACATCCCAAACTTTTATGTTTGGTTACATAAGTAATTACGATCGTAATCATATCGTGTTTAGTATCATTTTAATCAGAAAAACGAGACAAATACGATAATCAAAGTTTCATTGACGAAAACCAAAAAATAAAGAATTGTCAATGTTTGCCGAATGTTCGAAACTCTATCCCTCCTTGTCTTTTCTATCGCTGTCTCTTTCTACGTTCGGCACGCTATAAAGAATGTAGTACCTATTCCGTAAATGTTACAATCGAGACCGGCAAAAGTAACATTTACGGAGAGAATACTGTACGTGTACTATACTTTGTAATGAGCCGAACGTAGAAAAGGATAGCAACATAAAAACTGTTACAATCGCATTCGTTCCATTTTCCTGATTAAAATGACACCAAGCACAATATATTTACGACAATAATTACTTGTGTGGTAAACCACACAATTTTCGGATTTTCACACTTACGGCAAACTGTACATTTACTGCAGAGATACGAATTTATTCTAACTTGACTTGTTACGAATTTATTCTAACTTGACTTCTTGTACACTGTACACTGTTTAAAAAGTCTTTGCATAATACACACCAATATCTATTAAGGGGTAACACCACTCTAGAGCCCGAAAAAGAGGTCTAACTTTGACAATTTATTTTGGAAGAACTACAAACGGAAAAGAATTTTTTTTCAGAGAGTTTATTTAACACATATTGAACTACAAAAAAATATTCTTTTATTGTCAGTTTCGTACAAAATGGCGTCGACAGAGCATGGTGGCGACAGACCCCATCGTCGGAAACACATTTTGGAAAAACACCGCCACGGGAGGACGGATTTCTCGTTATGTATGAGTCGTGGGATAAAAAATCAAAAGAATTTATAATTTATATACAATTGGCTTTCGAAGTGCGTAGAGGTTTTTTGATTAATCAATTTTTGTGGAAGTTATGCGTTTTTTAAGGAATGAATCGACTGTTTGCATGAAAAATGAGCACTAAATTGTTTATAAAAAAAAAGTTTTTATTCAATCAAAAAACGGCTACGTACTTCCAAAGACAATATTGTTGTGAAGCTACAGTAAGAATTTCAATTCAATCCATACAATAGTCACCGAGAAATCCGTCCTCCCAGTATGAAGAAACTGATTTCGAGAAAAACGCGTTTGAAGTTTTATGAATATTTTGATCCTTAAATTCTCTAGCCACCGCTAATCTGCAATGCCTGTACTATACATTTGGCGATCCAGATCAGTGTTTGCCACCTTCTGTAGCTTTCTGGATACTTCTGTTTGTTTGGTAGGTACCAAGCAAACTTATTATTTTAAATAATAACAATAATACGAAAGCGATGAATTGCAACATACCGCGCGA